CACCCACCCCCCGGGGGGACCAGCCAACCTGCGCACGGCCCACTCTCCCATCCATCTGCCCTACCCTCCCACCCGGGGACCAGCCGACCTGCCCACGGCCCACTCTCCCATCTATCTGCCCCACCCTCCCACAGGGGGACCAGCCAACCTGTCCCCAACCCACTCTCCCACCCACTGCCCACAGGCAGGATCAGCCCTGGGCTCTGCCCTAGACATGAGACCCCCCCAGACATCCATCCCACCCCCATGTGGCCACAAAGACCCAGAGCTGCTGATGGGAGGGGCTGGCAGGCCCTCACCATTCACATAGGGCTTGTACAATGGGTGTTTCTTCTCCTTGGCGCCACGCTCTATCCGCAGCGTCGCCCACTGAAAGAGACAAGGTGAGCCGATTCTAAGCCCCGGCTGTGGGGACAGAGGGGTACTCCACACAGGCTGGGCAAGCCCCAGGCGGCCAGGCGGGACGGCATTGCCTATGAGAGGGTGCCGGTCACGGTGGCACGGCCAGGCGCAGAGCACGGGGAAGCATTTGCTTTGGGTGCTGGGTTACCGGAGGGACACCCTCAGAGCCGAAGCATTTGAGAGCAGAGCAACCCCTCTCCCGGAGCCGGGTGGTCCGCAGCACCTTGCCCAGCCCGAGAGAGTGGCCTGCTGCTTTCCGGCAGTCCCGGGCACTCTGCTGCTCCCTTAGCAGGGGGCCCTTGGCTGGACTCCATGTGGACTCTGATCACTTGCTCTGGCCGCTGGGCGGGGGTCTCCAGCACAGGGTGAGCAGGTGACCAACCTGGCACGGTCCTCCTGCATCTCATCTCCTCCCTCCTGGGATCAGAGGCTGCATTTCAAGGTTACTGATGCAACCAGCCAGCCAATAGCGCGAGGGGCTGGGACCCCTCCCTCCTCCCTCCTCCCACTAAGCTAACAGCTGCGGCTACTTCTCTGCAGGGCTGCTCATGGCCAACCGGACCGAACAGTCGCCAGGCAGATGTCTGACAGCTACTGCCAGAGTCAGTGCCCACATCACCCTTATTCACAGAAATCTCCCCCTCGGCTGCTTCCCAAGGGCATCAGACAAACACACAGGCTGGATTTCCAGGCGGTCAGCCTGCCCTCCACGGAGCCGTCTCGATAGCGAGTCTGGGAAGGGTTCGATTCTGCTCCGAATGGCTATTTCACCGCACGCACGCAACCATGGGAAAAATAATCCCACATGTACTGCTAAGCAGAGGAGAAAAGGCTGCTTGAGAGCCTACGAGATTTACTGTGTAAACTCTGACGTGATACTGACGAGCTGTGTTTGAACCCTTCCAAAGCTCCATCTCAAATCTCTAGTCCACTGTCATTCGGTAACTGGCCCCCGCAATTTTCCATAAGAGTGAACATTTAAATGGAGGCAAATTTAAAAACGCTCAAAAATTAACAGAATTCTCTCCAACCTGTCTCATCCCGGAAAGCAAACTGTGCACACCGACTCCAGGGTCCGTTCCCCTCCCCTCTCTCCCAGCAGGGGCAGGTGCTGGCTACGAGGGGAGCTCCCAGCTATGCCAGCCCCCCTCCCGTCTCTCCCACAGGGGAGGAGGCAGGGCTGGCTGTGGGGGGAGCTCCCAATATGCCAGCCCCCCAGCAGGCTGTGAGGAGGGAGGACTGGACAGGAAGTACTGGGATAATGGCAGGAAGTGGTGCTGTGGCAGCCTTTGGAGAGGGTCTGGTCTGAGTTCAGTCCTTTTGGCCAAGCTTTGGGGCAGGGCCCTTGCAGAGTTCTGATCGCACCCACTGAGCTGGCAGCCCTGAACCAGCCCTAGGCCCTGAAGGGCTGGGGGAGAACTTCATGGCCAGGCAGACTTGTCCAAGGGCAGCCTCTGGTCCCAGGAGCTGAATCCTCCCACACAACTGGCTAGTTACATGACAGAGCCCCACCTTCCCCATGCGAGTAAGGGACTGGATGGGCCTGGACAGAGAATGACCTGGCTGCTCCCAGAGCCTGCAGGGCTCACCCTGGAGCCCCGTCGCCCCAGGGCAGCACGGCCACAGAGCTCCGCTTCTCTGCATGGAACGTTGCTACCAAGCAGCCTTGGCCTCCTCCTGGGAGCGCGGCAGAGCCCACGCCTGCACGGATCCTGTCTCGCAGGAGGCCCCAGCCCTAATGCAGCCAAGGGCAGGCAGGAACAATCTAGAAAATTCCACTTGGCATCTGAGCCAAGCAGCACAGTGAGGGCTACTGGCTGCCCCTCAGAGGCTGCAGTTCTGGAATCAGCCCCAGCTCCACACTGGCAGCAGGCCCCAGTGCCAGCCTGTTTCCTTGGGTAGGCGAGCAGATGGCAGCACACACCACAGAGCATGTGGGCCAGGGCCCCTGCACAGCGGAGCGCCCAGCTGACACCCAGCTTCCTTCACTCATCTGTGTGTTCAAGAAGAGATGCTGCTGTTGCTGCCCCAGCCCTCCCCACCCCCAGGAATGAGGCACCTGCTCCTCCCCTGCTCCCCTTGGTCTCCCCCTCCCCGCCCCCCACTGAGATGTTCTTGAGAGGTGCTGACATCATTGACTCACCCAAAGGGGACAGACTGGGGCACTTGTTTACAAGGGCTCTGTCCTCAGCATGGGGGCACTTTGGAATGATCTAGGAGCACAGATCTAGGGAGCTGGATTTGGCTCGATAACGGAGTGTGGCAGATATGCTGGAGCCACTCCAAGGGCCCCTTCCCCCCAGGAGGTTTCTTGCACTACCAACAGCCCAGCCCTCAGTCAGCACCCCACACCAGTGACAGGGACACCCCCTACTCAAAGGCACATGCCCCTGCCAGGGATTTCCCCCAGGCTCATGAACAGGGCTCAGAGCACCCAAACTCCCCCGCAGGACAGCCCAGAGGCAGGACTCACCCGGAAAATCTTTAAGAGTGTTTTCATGTAAATCCTACGGATGCCAAAGGAGACCCCGAAAATGGCTGGCACGATGATGAAAACCAGCAGCAGCGTGAAGAGCACGGTCAAGGAGATCCCCAGCAGGTTAACAACCAGGCTGTCAAAGGGGAGCAGGAGGAACATGATGGAGGGTCCAGGCAGGGCCAAAGCCCAGCGACCCTGAGGCAGGAGAGAAGGGGTCTCCAAAGTGATCAGCCAGTCCTGCTACTCAGCGGCAGTTCCATGCATGCTCCGAGTCCCCAGCTGATCACGGACTCCATTCCAAAGTTCACATCCTTTTCTAGCAGCCCCCGGGAGAGGAATGTGAGGGAACCAAGCAAGGGGACGGTCAGGTGAGACGGCGGCTTGGGGGTCAGCACGGTCTGCGAGTGGCACTGGAACAAGGCAGCTGTGGGACTGGGGACTCCCCTCGGGGCCCACCAAACAAGTCTTGCTGCAGGCCGACCCCTGAGGGGCCTGGCAGCGGAATCCCCTTTGGCTTGCTCAGAGCAGGAAAGGTCTCGTCACAGGGGTGAGGTGGGCTCCATCCCTGCTCCTGCATTGGGGGAGCTCCAGGGTGCCTACTGCCTTTGCCACCGGGTGCCTCTCACGCCGACTGTAACAAGTGTCATTCTGGAGTCCTCTGGCAGCCGCCCACGCTGGAGTCCTCGCGGAAAGGGACGGTGCCTCCGCCCCTGTGAGGGCCCCCAAGCTGCGAGCTGCCTTCTTGGCAAGAGAGCTCCTCACATGCCACCACAGCTAGGGGAGGCAAGAACAAACAGAGTCAGGCCAATCAGGGGTGAGGCGTCAAGGCAGAGGGTCTCCTGAGGTCTGGGAGCAGCAAGGGCAGGGTTCCGGAGCCTGCAGGATCTCACTGCTGCCTCCCACTGGCAGTACAGTGCAAGGCGCTGGGAAGAGCCCTGCATTTCCAGGCCAGATCTGCAATTCAGATCAGCACAGGAGCCTTGCTTGCCCTGGGTCGCTGCAGAAGGCTGGTGTGTCTCCAGAGAACAGGAGCAATTGGAGTGAGGGACAGCCTCCCTGCTGACACAGTTTATCCCTCAGCACCTCCATCCTGAGGGCTCTCCCAGCACTTTATTAGCTGCACTTAGGGCCCACTGCCTCTCCACTGAACCCTGCCTCTTGGGGTGGGGCTTGCCAACTGTTTGACTCAACTGTTGATTACTCAAGTGAAGTAATCCCGCAGAGAGAATTAAAGGAGGCTAAACATGATTATCTGACCTGGAACTGGTCAGGACACTGCAACCAAAACCAAGGTCTGCGTCTTCGCATTACATCTCGCTGAGAGACGTCCCAGGTGTACAGCATCCTTTGTACCACCATGCTGGGGCACCAGCTCCGGTCCCACTCCACTCATCACTGGGGAGTGGTGAGGGAGGTTCCACTCCACCTACCACCCTGGCCTGACCCTGAGATACTCAGCGACTGAGGGGCACCCAGTCAGCTCTGCTGGTGCGAAGTGAGGGGCACCCAGTCAGCTCTGCTGGAGGAATCATTCCCGGCAGCAGGAGAGCCCTCCCTTCCCCTTTCAGGCAACCTCTAGCCCCATCTTGGCTCCCCTGCTGCTTCCCACAGCACACTGGGGGCTCTGGCTGCTGGCCCAGCACCACTGTACCGGGCACAGCTAAGAGCATCCCGAGTGCTTCATGGAAACCATGTGCCAATAAACCCTGCTTCCCAGAGATACTCTGCTCCCCGACACCTGGCTCCCCAGGTCAAACCCCTCATGCACCAAACCCAGGAACCCCACCTGGCAAACTAACCAGTCCCCCAGCCAGCCTACCCACGGCCACGGGAAGGGGCCTGGGATGGAGAAGAGAAAGAATGAATAGGACTTACCCCTGCCCTGGCCTAATGGCCCAGTTCAAGTCAGGCCCTGGCAATAACCAGAAGCACGAGGCACAGCACAAGGCAGCCCTATTCAGCCACATTAATCTCCAGACTAGGGATGCGAGTGGCAGCAAGGTGGGAGGGGGAAGCAGGTGCCAGTGCTGGGGGGAGCCAGCTTAAAAGCCGGTTCTCTCCAGCACTGTCTCAGCGGTGCCTGAGGGCGGGGAGGGGAGAAGGGGAGTCAGAGCTGCAGCGGTCCCAGAGCCGGCATGAGCTACTCCCACTGTGGCTCTGCAGTGTACATGTAGTAAAAGGTGGGCTGCCTGTGCACCTGGCTCCTACTACATTTAAAACTGCAGAGCTGTAGCAGGGTTAGTTCCTGGACCTGGCGTGAACTGAGACTAAACGCCTCCCCTTATCGACTGATCGTGTAGTTGATACAAAATGTATCAACTACACGATTAGCCAATTACTCACCTCTTAACATCCTTACTACAGACAGGGCGGTGGCAATGCCACTGGGGTCTCTGTGGTGCAACGCTCCCCCTGGAGAGCCTCCTGCGGAAAGATTGTCTCAGAGGTCTGGACCAGAATGCACAGACTGCACAGCCTGAGTGAGCGCCATGGGTCCATGCCCCATGAGACCAAAACCTACAGAGCCCAGGCTCCCCTCCTCCACCACCTGCAGGGCTGGATGAGGAACTCTTGTCCCAATGACCAGATTTTTCTAGTATAATGTTGTAGAAACCCTGGGCACTAGTCAGGGGAGCAGCATTCTCCCCATTTTACTCACTGGCATAGCTGCACGAAGCAAAGGGACCAGACGCAGAGCATGCTGCAAGTCAGTGAAAAGCTGGCCTTCTACCCAGGACTTCTGCCCTCAGCAGTAAGCAAGGGCAGCATACTACTGTGAGCAAAGTGGTCCTAAGTCGAACCCTACCGAGATCAGCGATCCGTCCCTCAAGAATGGCTCCTCCAGCAGTCACAGGACATCAGGGGGTTGCTCTGGGGAAACGCGGTCTGCCCCTGCGAAGGGAAAGGAGAGTCACGTGCAATCACTGGACACCTCCCACCCACGGCCCAGCAGCAGCTCCGGTTCAGGGGCCTTTGGGGTGCAGGGCCACAGGGCCTTACCGAGCAGCACGGAGCCGGGGGCTCCCTGCTCCACCAACCAGCACCATGGGCCCGCGGCAGCAGGCTGGGGGAGCCCACTGGGCCAGTGCTGGGGGGCTGCAAGGCCCCTGCCC